TGAATCAGTTATTATTATTATATTATTCAAAAGATGGCTCTAAAGTTACCAAAAATAAGTTAAATTATGCATAGCATATTATCCTTAAACATAGGACAGTAATCCAAAATTATTAGATTGGGATATATCCAAAAACAACCTTCATGTATTCAGAAAATTTATTGATTCAGAATAACTTATTACCCAGGGATTCCAGTTACGATGAACTCTACAGTCACTTTCAGTTTTTCCCCCCAGAATGAAAGGAATTTTTAAAGAGCATACTTAAGAAGCATATACTTCAGTCTCCTAAAATACATTTACTATTCCATATTATGAAAACTAGCAGCCATCAGTACTTCATCCACTAATTTAAAATAACTTCAAGACTTAATATTAAAAATATATATTTCATATTCAAAGTAGTAACAGAGGCAGACATCACAGGCTTCATATTTAACACTATTACTATTATCAGTAGTAGCAGTATGGAACAATATTTACTTTTTCCATATGTAACAAAGATGATAAAGCTTCACAAGTCAAGAAAATCACTCATCAGTTTTTAAATGTCTACTCTGTTTTAGAAATTACGGGAGATATAACAAATAGAGGACACATATCCATATACATTTGACATCGTATAAGAAGAATCTCAAACACACTGACAGAAAATGGTTCACAGGAAGGAAAGATCCTGAGCTAGAATGAACTAAAAACTAATTTCACAGGACAGGGACATGAGCTGGACTAGGGTACAGAGCTAGAAAGGAAAAGACAGTCAAAGCTGAGGGAAATAATTTGTCATTTGTTTTCTTAATAAAAATGTCTAATTCAGAACACCAAATATAAGATACATTCAAGTAAAACAATTTAGAGAAACATTCCATTAGAGATATATTCTTTACTAAGCTGTTCATCAAGTCACACACATATATGTAAATGGTACTTATCTACCCTTTAGCTTCATAAAATCTCCCAACTTAGACTTGAAATAAGAGCTCTAGCAAGAGAAAAATTAAAAGGAGCTGTAAGTAAAGAGAAAATTTTGGGCACTAGATCTTAACATACTCTTTTTTCAAAGTTAAAAATTTTCTAGGGGCCGGCCCGGTAGTGTAGTGGTTAAGTTCGAGGGCTCCTCTTCCGTAGCCCGGGGTTCACAGCTTCGGATCCCAGGCTTGGACCTACACACAGCTCTCATCAAGCCATGCTGTGGGGGCATCCCATATACAAAACAGAGGAAGACTGGCACAGATGTTAGCTCAGGGCCAATCTTGCTCAGCAAAAAGTGGAAGATTGGCAACGGATGTTAGCTCAGGGCAGATCTTCCTCACAAAAAAATTTCTGTTCTCTGGACCTTTTTCTAGCATGACATTTTCCCTTGGTATACTCTACATCTGTCATTTTACTTTAATTTGGAAAAGTGATAAAAGTTTACTTTGAAAGGAAATTCATTTTAGTAATTTCCTGTCCACCAGAGGGCTCCAATATTTCTTCCACAAATGGCAGAGATATAACCCAACAATAAAAATATTAAGCACTGAAAAAACTCAGATGATCATTATCTCATCCAACCCTAGACTAAAAACTGTTACATCTGCTACAATTTCTACACTAACAGTTTAAAAAGATACAGGGCTTTTCTTCAAATGTTTTATCATCTAAAATGTTTCAAATACCAAAACTGCTTTGCCATTATTCTCATACTAATTGTCAATTTCTCTCTTAAGTAGCGTTTTCAATTTTATAGATATCATAAAGTTTAATTTCAATCCAAAGCTCTAAATAGTACCTCAAATGTTTTGTATAATAATTTTATAAATACAATCATTTATTTCTTGATAATTTTCCCAATCCAGAAAACAAAATTACCACCTTATCTACCCAGCCTCAGGCCTTATTACTAACAGAAAGAATAAACATTTTCTTTCAGAAGACCTACAGTCATTAACATAATTCATGCTACAACTATAAATAATGAATATTGCCCTATCATGAACTATGTTTTGGGCTGAGAAAAAAATAAAGGAAATGAATCATTTAAATACAATGTATTATAATGATATTCTGCTCAGATATTTTCAGATTTTTTTCACAAATAAGTTATTACACTGGAATCTTAGTAAATTTCTTAGTTTAAACTCAATCACTCTTAGCAAAGGAAAAGCCAGTATTTTATGTCAATACATTTATATTATTTATAGGACATATTTACAGAATGTTAATTGGAAAAGTATCAACTGCAAATTATTATTTTTTAAGAGTATAGCAAATCCATTCACTAGGGGTGCCACTCCCCCTCCAAAAAGATCTATTTGATAAATTTGGATTATAAAAAAATGAGACTCCTTATGGTAAACAAAAAAACATAATGTTTAAAAATAAACTTTAAATGTGAGTTATATTTACCAAACAAACAAAGATGCTAAAAAATCGATTTTAAAGTGAGTCACAATCATTGCCACAAGAAGACTTTACCGAAAAAAATCTATTGATTTAGCAATTACTGTAGCTCAAGAATGAATTATCTCTAATGAAAACACGGCAGGGGTTATAACTTCACTGCCCCACCTCATCTCCCAAATAAGATTTTCCTATATTAATAAAAGCATTATTAACATGTAAAAGAACATAACATTTCTTTCTGAATAACACATACTAGCTGTCATCACTTAGAAACTTAAAAATTTTACTGCACCTAGCAAAAATGTATGAATTCATACTTGCAAGAGTATATATCCTGACCAACTTAGAGTTACGCTGCAAGGGAAATGTCAGAGTGGAAAGAGGTGGGGGTGGCGAGGCTGAGGCTTTTCGAGATTCAATGAGTGGTAAAATTGTTCTCACTTTAAGTCATGAATGTAAATGCAGATTTATTGTCCATTACTGATATGAAGAGTTTAACAATATTAAGCATTTAATTGACAACTTTTAACCAATATTTATCATGTTATATTTCAAAAAGCTGGGAATCTTAGGCACATATCAAACGAAGGCACTTCATAAGCAAAAATGCAATGTAAGTAAGAGCAAATGAAGGTTTAAAAGGCTTTAGCATAGGAAAAAAACTTCGAGACCTCCAACAAGTTGAACAGCTAGAAAACGAGACATAAAAAATACTAGGAACAATCTAATCTGAGCTGTACCTTAGACACACTCTGAAATAGCATCATCAGGGCATTATATGTTTATTACATAATACTGCTTTGCCCTTGTATATCACCTTTAATCAAGGGATCTCAAAGCACCACAGAATCATCAAGGCCTTAAAATACAGTCTAAAACAGAAAGTTATATTTTATAACTGCAGCTATTAATAAAACCTTGCCACTACTTCCTGGTCCCCTGATCTGAACATTAGCTTCCAAACCTTCTCTCTGACTTGGAAACAGCATTCCCCAAATCATTGCAATTTGTGACTGACGCTACGCACATTCCAGCTTTTCTTCATCACTGGGCCTAAGGAAAGCAGTGGCACTGTTTTAAAGACACATCTATTTCATTACAACTTCTGTGACAGAATAAATAGCACTGAGGGTGAACATATCTTGCAGTGTGCATGGTGATAGAAAATGGAGGCTTTATAGACAGCAAATCTTTGCTGGAGGTGATGAGCCCACAGAGCATCCATCATACAGGGGAAATAGCATTTCCCAGCTCAGTCCAGAGACCTCTCCAGGCAACTTCAAGAGCACAGCAGAGGAAACCACGTCCAGCTATGCTTAAGCGGGCAGGAGACTATTCTTATGCGTGTGCACACCAGGAGAGAAGGGAAAACTAAAGGGGCAATGCACGAGTTTTAAGACTCAGTGAGGAGGGTGTAAGGTTGCTGTGTGGCCACCCAAGAGACAGAACATTACTGTTCCATTGCATTTAAATAGCACATTAAATGGAAAATCAAACATAAGCAAAATGTCTTTAAACCAAGGTCAAAATATGCCATTTAGAGTCATTTAAATTTTTTTCACTTTGAAGTCTACAAATGAGGTTCACACCTATAGAAACATCCGACATTTTAAAATTTAATCATCAGCAAAGTTTAATTTCGCTTTTTCACTGGAACACACGACACTCAAATGTTAACTTAATGTGAGCATAACTACGTTAACTTTAATTCTTTCCTAAGCAAGAATTGTTTCCTCTTCCTGTTAATTGCATTATGTTTGTCCCTAGGACTGCAAAGTGCGATTTCACACTCACACAAACCCACCTCTCGGCACTGTAAGCCTACACGGTTACTGTTAGTCAACTGACAACCTCAACCTTTAAAGAAAAGCGTTAATAAACAGGAGTACTTTTTGTTTCAAGTTCTCAACAATCAAGGATCAAGGCTCCATAATGCGTTTTATTAGCTTTTAAACGTCCAATGATGTAATACCGCTAAATATTTGGTACTAAAAGTCCTGGAATATTCATAAAAAGTGCCACTATACGGTCAGCCTAGATTTGTGAAAATTCCAAAACATCTTAATCTTTCTGTTGCCATACTTGTTCATCCAGACATTTCAAAAAGCTCAGAGCAAATTCTAGTAGACTTTTTCTTGAAGCGATACATGTCCGGTTCTTGAAAATATCAAGTTCGTACCCACTGCATTAACGATCTCGTCAGTGTCACAGAGCAAGATTCCCGTTTTCCTGTCTACCTCCGGATCCAGCGGGGACACCCGTCCTCAGCTCTGCCCACTCTCACTGACGTCTTCAGAAGCTTTAAGATACAAGTGTTCAGAGGCTTCTAGCAAAGAGGGAGATATTCTCTCCACTTCAAGCTACCTTGCTACACTGTCCCTACTTCTCCACTGTCTTTAATGACTTAGAACATACAACCAAATGAGAAAACCCATACTAAAAGCAGTACTTTCGAAACGGAGGAAACCAGAACCTCCAACTTCTCCAAATCTCCTAGCACCGTGGCTTTTCAACAGCGCCCCGCAAACCTTCACCCCACGCCTGCATCCTTTCTGATTAAATAAGATTGGAAACCACAATTAAATCAAAGGTGTCGTAACTTATCCTTCACTCACCATATCCGCCGGGACATTACTGGACATCTTGCCGGTTGATATATACCCAGATGTGTACGCAAAAAAATACAACAACAACAACAAACAAAAAAGAGCAGAAGTCTTCAAGCCACAGAAATCAACCTTAACGAAAATAATAAGTTATTTCGGAGTCAAAGTGCCGCCGGGCCGAGGTTCTGTGCGAAGAGGAACAACCCCCAGAAGCAGTGTGGCCGGAGCCGGAGGGAACTCCCGGGACGGCAGCAGCAGCCCCCGTCGTCGTCGTCGTCGTCGTCAGCAGCAGCAGCAGCAGCAGCTCCAGGACCTGCCGCGCCAGGTGGACCGAGCCGAGTGACACACGGACATGGAGCGGGGTGGGAGGGGGTTAAATCCGCCTTCCTCCTTTCCCAGCCCGGCAATGATTCACACTCGCTCCCGAGTCAAGTCCTCATTAAGCAGGAGGAAAATGCCCGAGTGTGGATGTACATAGATAACTATGTAGCTACACATGGACGCGTGAGCAGTGAGTGGCAGGCGCGGGGGCCGGCGGGCCGACGGCGCCGGGAGAAGGCTCAAGTCGCGCGGCCGGGGCGGAGAGCCGGGCCGCGGAAAGCCGCGCTCAAGGGCATTTAACTGCTTGGAAGCCAAAGCGAAAGCCCGGGGCGCAGAGTCCAGGCGGCGAGCGCGGGGCGCGGGGAGCTCGGGCCGGGTAGGAGACCCCACGGCCCCTCGGAGCTCAGGCCGCGGGCGCCTCCGGGCAGCAGCGGGGCTCGGGGCGCATCGTCTCCGGCTTCCCGGCTCTGCTCTCCTGCCTCCGCCTCCCCCGTCTCCGCCTTCTCCTCCCCTCCCCTCCCCTCCCCTGCCTCGCGAGCTCCCCGCGACGCCGACTTCGGCTGGTCCCCGGAAGACGCCGGGGCCTCCCGCTCCTCAGCCCGAGAGTGGTTTCCTCTCAGAGCTTTGTCTCTCCTCCTCCTCCACGTTTCAGTCCCAAACGCCGCAGCCGCCTCCTGTCATCGCCTCAAGCCAACATGGCGGCAGCCGCGGCGGCGGCAGCTGCCTGAGCGCGAGTCGGCGACACGGAGAGAGCACGGCCACCCCTTGCAACCACCACCCCCGCCCTCCCCCCTCCGCAGACACCAAGTGCGTCACTACGGAGACCACCCTCGAGCATCACGGGAAATGTAGTCCACGCGGTGGGGGCAGCGGGCCACCTAGCGCGTCCTGGCCCCACTCCGAAGCCACGCCCCTCGTAGCAACAGTTGCTAGGAAAGGAAAGCTCGCTTTAGTCAAGCTGCCGCCATGGAGTTAGGTGATACCTGCTGCCAGGAGCGCTGTGATCGTGCGAATTATTTGGGGAAAATTATTCTGCACAGAGAAATTCCCTCATGCGCGATATACACACAGAGTTGAAAAATGGTTTACCTCCAAACAGAGCCATTCATTTTAATGACAGCACGCTCTCCACATCCTGCAATCTCAAAGCATTTTGTATAGTGATTTCATCTAGGTCTCCTCAACATTACATTTGGAGGATCAGAAGCAATCATTGATTTCCAATAAGGTCATAGAAGTTCAACAGGAACAAGGATCTCATTAAGCAGGGAGAATGTTTGGACATGTGTTTCTTGAAGACCTGGAGCCATAAAGCTACAATCTAGTTAATTGAAATTACCAAAAACTATATTAGATACAATAGTGTATCATGCCAAATCTATATTAGGAAATAGCTACTACAAACCATATGGGGATTCACCAGTTCACCAGGCTAGCCCCTAAATTCTGTTTAACTCAAACTGTAATTGAAAACCTATACACCGGCAGTGACTAGCAAATAGCACCAAATAATACCATTAGTGAGAGACTCAGAGGAAGAATATGTCTACCCCAGATTTAGGAACAAAATGCAGAAACCACGACGTCCATCTGAATCCCTATTCACATCTCTCAGCTCTTTGGCAGAGTATTTTAGAAAGGGCAGTCTCAATAAGACACCTGGATAAAAATGCCAACGGATTTGCAGTCTGGAAGGCACCTCTCCAACGTACAGCTATGTGACCTCATCTGTAAAACAGTCTTGCCTACCTTCCAGGAGTAAAGCAGGGGCAGATGTAAGGGTGAGTTCATGCTTGGGAAATAAATTACTTTGTAAATAATAATGCATCATTTGATATGAAATGTCACTACTCATTCAGCAAACAAATGTGCCCGGCACTCTGCTAGGCACCAGGAGTTTAAAAATGAATAATCCAGGCACTGTCCTCGGGGAACTCATTGTCTGGATGCCTATGTAATTCCCAACAGCAAGCTCTGCAGTCTGGTTTGTCTCATCAGGATGGACATTCACAGGACGTTTAGAGTCCCTGACTCTCGAGTAGCCTGGCTGGAGAAATTCCAGGCACTCCTTGGGGGCTACATCATCCTGTTGGGAGTTAGGGTAGTAACCAGGGAGGAGGAGGATGGATCAAATTCCTAGAGAAACCAAAGGACAGAGGGAAAAAGAGGCCCAAATCTCACCACGATTAGGCTTCAGGACTTTGTCTAGATATTTCTGAGTCCATAGCTCATGACTTTCCATGGCCTCTGGTACTCGGTTGCTCATTCTCCCTGTTTAGTAACCACAGAGCCCTTCCCACCAGACCTCCAGGAAATAAGGGCAATTGAAAATGCTTCACTTGACCGATGAGTTCAGAAAGAATTTTGGAACACATTTTGAAGGCTTTCACTCACAAAGTTAGTCCCCAACTCCTCCTCTAACCCCACTTTACCCAGTGACTGTCCTGGCCAAGGCTCTGCTGGGCCTAAGTGCTACTGTAAGTAGAAAGGCAAGAAACATAAGATGGCAGGACTAATAGAAACATCAACTCACACTTCCTCTGCTGCTTTCCAACAGCCGTATGGCAAGCGATGCAATGACCACCGCCAGCCCAAGACCTTGGCATTTCTGACACACGATGTTGCTATTTGCTGCCAGTTACCCCTGCCACCACTACAAAAGGCCATATCTTTCAAAAGTAGTCACTGCACCTAGCTGTGTTTCCAATCACTCTCTTAAGAGAAGCTGAGACATTATTCTCAATAAAACTCATGATAACTCTCCTAACAGAATTAAGCCAGCCCTGGTGGTCTAGCGGTTAAGATTTGGGGCTCTCACCACCATGGCCTGGGTTCTTTCTCGGTCAGGGAACCACACCACTGTCTATTGGCTGTCATACTGTGGCGGCTGCGTGCTGCTGTGATGCTGAAAGCTCTGCCCCTGGCCGTGCAAAGCCTGTGAATAGCAGCAGCGCACTGTCTGATGCAGCGCCAGAAGGTGAGAGGATGGCACAGACACACGGGCAGGGCTCGGTACACAGTGTCGCTAGGAGTGGAATCGACTGGACGGCACCCACAGCAACAGAGTGAAGACCTGAGAGAGCGTTATTGAACACAGCTGCAGATTTTTCCACTCTCCTCTTTTTACTCTCTGCTTCCCAACCAGGCAGGTGAGGTGGGAGGCTGGAGAAAGAGCCCAGCTGTCCACAGCAGGGAAGGGTAACATCTTCTTGAGACTGTTAATCTATTATCAGCATCAATATGAAGAAAGGGAGTGACACAGCATTTTTGTATTAGGAAAAATAACTTCACAGGAAATCAAAAGACTTGGCTCTGTCACGAATTAGCTGTGTGAACTTTGCCAAGACACTTTGCCTCTCTGAGCCTCATTTTCTTCAGCTGAGGAGGTTAGACGAAATTTCTCAGGTCCCTTCTTAGAGTCTATGAGCATCAAGTTCCCGAAGAATAGCACATGACATCCATGACCTGTTAAAAATATCTCCCCCAAGTGACTGTTCATGGGTATTAGGGGTTTTTTTTGGGGGGGGCGGGGAGCTGGTGAGTGATGAAAATGGCCTAAAATTAGATTATGGCAATGGTTGCACAACTCTGTAAATATACTAGAAACCATTGAATTGTACACTTTAAATGGGTAAATTTATTTTTTTAAGTTATGATAAAATATGCATAATATAAAATTTACCATCTTAACCTTTTTTAGGTACACAATTCAGTGGCATTAAGTACATTCACTTTGTTGTACTACCATCACCACCATCCATCCACAGAACTCCTTCTTCTTGCAAAACTGAAACTCCCTACCCAATGGGCAACTCCCCATTCCTCCCTGCTTCCCTCTAGCCCCTGGCAACCACCATTCTACATTCTGTCTCTTTTAATTTGACTACTCTAGACACCTTTATAAGCAGAATCATACAGTATTTGTCCTTTTGTGACTGGCTTATTTCACTTAACATAATGTCTTCCAAGTTTCATCCATGTTGTGGCATGTGTCAGAATTTTCTTCCTTTTTAAGACTGAATAATATTTCATTGCATGTATATACCACATTTTGTTTATCCATTCACCCATTAATGGATACGTGGGTTGCTTCCACCTTTTGAATATTGCAAAATGGGTGAATTTTATGATACATAAGTTATATCTCAATGAAAATTAAAAATTACATATCACCTATCTGCCGTGTAAGGGGTCTGAAATGATTCCTCTGTATTAGGATCATTCCTTAAGGGTGTTCTCAAGGAGATTCATGATTTCACACTAGATAGAAGCATTATTTTCTATGAGACCAGTAACCTTTATTCAGATACTACCTCGGCTGATTATCTCATTACATCGTCCATTGTCATTTGTTAAAGATCTGGGAGTAGGAAAATGCCACAAGAGGCAGAGAAAGGTCTGTAATAATGCCTGGGGGGTGGGGGTGGGAGCAAAGGTCATGGATACACCACGCACTGCCCAGAAAGTGGAAGAAAGAGCACTTTGCCATCTCCATCCGGTTTTGTCCAAGGCTGGCCTGGCCCTCTTTGGTTCCAGTGTAAGAGTCACTTCAAAGGCTTACTTTATAAAATTATGCTATATTTCTTTCTTATAAGAAAATCTATGTGCAGCCCCCTAATACTTATGTGAAGACCCTTAACATAGAAAGAGTCTCAAGAAGTGTGAATTCCCTAACACAATTGGCCAAGCCCCTTTCTCTTGAGACTAGAGATAATCTGCTTACTGGTTTAGTAATGGACTTTCCTCCTTTAGCCTTTACTGTCACCAGAGCAGAATGAATGTATGTACGTTTGTGGATTTGAGAATTGTGCTCTGAAAGAGGTTAAGATATGAAGAATGGAATTAAATTGTGTAAGGCAAGGGAAGAGATAGGACACATTGGCTGACCTGTTTTTACTCCTGAAGAGCCCCCATATGCACACACTGCAGATATGTCCAGCCCCTTTAACCCTATACTCCCCTGACCAGAGATTCTCAACCCGCTTCCCATAAGGATCACCAGGAGCCATTTAAAAAGATGGATGCCTGAACCCTACCCCAGAACAACTAAATCAGACTCTGCAGGGCTGGACCTGAGACTGGTATTTTTCAAAGCTTCCCCAAGTAATTCTCATGTGCAGCCATCACTGAGAAACACTGTAAGCCAAATTCCTTCAAGCCCAGCTTCCCTCCTTTTCCCTAGTCAAGTGTCCTTTA